CATTCATTATCCTATATATGTCCTATATTGGCTAACTTTTGGAAAATACAACATTTGATTTTCTCTTTTGGCCAATATTGTCATAATATATTATTTTGCATTATAGGTTGCAGAATATTGCCACAGTATTGTAATTTCGTTCGTAAATAAAATATTACAGATAAATATTGGCACAATACTGTATTGATAGCAAAAGTAAAATATTGTTGAAACATATATTGGCTAATTATTGTTTTTTCTATATAACACTAAAATTATCGACCAGTATCCCTCCAATGCTGTTTGTTGATCGTTCAGCGAACATTCATAATCCTATACGTTTCCTATATTGGCTAAATTTTTGAAAATACAACATTCGATGTTCTCTTTTGGCCAATATTGTCATAATATGTTATTTTGCATTATAGATTGCAGAATATTGCCAAAGTACTTTAATTTCGTTCGTAAATAAAATATTACAGATAAATATTGGCACAATACTGTATTGATAGCAAAAGTAAAATATTGTTAAAACATATATTGGCCAATTATTGTTTTTTCTATATAATACTAAAATTATCGACCAATATCACTCCAATGTTGTTTGTTGATCGTTCAGCGAACATTCATTATCGTATATGTGTCCTATAATGGCTAACTTTTGGAAAATACAACATTTGATTTTCTCTTTTGGCCAATATTGTCATAATATGTTATTTTGTATTATAGATTGCAGAATATTGCCACAGTATTTTAATTTCGTTCGTAAATAAAATATTACAGATAAATATTGGCACAATACTGTATTGATAGCAAAAGTAAAATATTGTTAAAACATATATTGGCTAATTATTGTTTTTTCTATATAACACTAAAATTATCGACCAATATCACTCCAATGTTCTTTGTTGACCGTTCAGCGAACATTCATAATCCTATACGTTTCCTATATTAGCTAAATTTTTGAAAATACAACATTTTATTTTCTCTTTTGGCCAATATTGTCACAATATGTTATTTTGCAATACAGATTACAGAATATTGCCACAGTATTGTAATTTCGTCAGTAAATAAAATATTACAGATAAATATTGGCACAATACTGTATTGATAGCAAAAGTAAAATATTGTTGAAACATATATTGGCTAATTATTGTTTTTCTATATAACACTAAAATTATCGACCAATATCACTCCGATGTTGTTTGTTGATCGTTCAGCGAACATTCATAATCCTATACGTTTCCTATATTGGCTAAATTTTGGAAAATACAACATTTGATTTTATCTTTTGGCCAATATTGTCACAATATGTTATTTTGCAACATAGATTGCAGAATATTGCCACAGTATTGTAATTTCGTTCGTAAATAAAATATTACAGATAAATATTGGCACAGTACTGTATTGATAGCAAAAGTAAAATATTGTTTAAAACATTAATTGGCTAATTATTGTTTTTTCTACATAATACTAATATTATCAACCAATATCACTCCAATGTTGTTTGTTGATCGTTCAGCGAACATTCATAATTCTATACGAGTCCTATATTTCCTAAATTTTGGGAAATACAACATTTGATTTTCTCTTTTGGCCAATATTGTCACAGCATGTTATTTTGCAGTATGGATTGCAGAATATTGGCCCAGTATTGCAATTTCGTTAGTAAATAAAATATTACAGATAAATATTGGCACAATAGTGTATTGGTAGCAAAAGTAAAATATTGTTAAAACATATATTGGCTAATTATTGTTTTTTCTATATAACACTAAAATTATTGACCAATATCACTCCAATGTTGTTTGTTGATCATTCAGCGAACGTTTATAATCCTATACGTTTCCTATATTGGCTAAATTCTGGAAAATACAACATTTGATTTTCTCTTTTGGCCAATATTGTCACAAAATGTTATTTTGCAATATAGATTGCAGAATATTGCCACAGTATTGTAATTTCGGTCGTAAATAAAATATTACAGATAAATATTGGCACAATACTGTATTGATAGCAAAAGTAAAATATTGTTAAAACATATATTGGCCAATTAATATTTTTTCTATATAACACTAAAATTGTCGAACGATAAAACTCCAATGTTGTTTGTTGTTGGTTCAGAGAACATTCAGAATCCTATACCTATCCAATATTGGCTAAATTTTGGAAAATACAACATTCGATTTTCTCTTTTTGCCATTATTGTCACAATATGTTATTTTGCAATACGGATTGCAGAATATTTGCACAGTATTGTAATTTCTGTCATAAATAAAATATTACAGATAAATATTGGCACAATACTGTATTGATAGTAAAAGTAAAATATTGTTAAAACATATATTGGCAAATTAATATTTTCTCTATATAACACTAAAATTGTCGAACGATAAAACTCCAATGTTGTTTGTTGTTCGTTCAGAGAACATTCAGAATCCCATACCTATCCGATATTGGCTAAATTTTGGAAAATACAACATTCGATTTTCTCTTTTTGCCATTATTGTCACAATATGTTATTTTGCAATATAGATTGCAGAATATTGCCACAGTATTGTAATTTCGTTCGTAAATAAAATATTACAGATAAATATTGGCACAACACTGTATTGGTAGCAAAGTAAGATATTAATAAAACATATATTGGCGAATTATTGTTTTTTCTATATAACACTAAAATTATCGACCGTTATCACTCCAATGTTGTTTGTCGTTCTTTCAACGAACACTCATAATCCTATTTCTGTCCGATATTGGCTAAATTTTGGAAAACACAGCATAGGACTTTCTCTTTTCGCCAATATTGGCCCAATATGTTATTTTGAGCTATGGATTGCAGAATATCGGCACAATACTGTAATTGAGTGCGTAAATACAATATAGCGGATAAATGTAGGCACGATATTTTATCGACAGTGAAAGTGAAATATTATTAAAATGTATATTGGCCAAATATTACCCCTGTCGATATAACAGTAATATTTTCGAGCAATGTTACTTCAGTTTGTTGATCGTTCAGTGAATATGCCTTCTCAACTAAATTGGAAGACACAACATCTTTTGCCCTAAACTGAATCAATATGTTATTTTGCGATATTCATTGCATAATATACGCTAAAATGTCATTACGCTACACTTGCGTATTGTTCACTTCCAGGAATTCACAAAACCCAAGATGCTTGACTTGGTGAATAATTATTTCAATAATCACTTCCAGCAAAATGTTTCCATTCAAATATATGAACAAGATCGAAAGAGTACAGACCAGCATTGGGCCAATGCCAAAACAATGTTCCTTCCGGGGTTGCCTTGCTGCCTGATCTGCAGCAAAGTTCCGAACAACATTTACTATGCTTCTTAGCATGGTCCAAGGTAGGACAACAAACGAAATCAGAGCAAAATATCCTTTATCGAAGGTTTATCTAAATATAATAGCACAAGTAGCAGCTATCGGTTGAAACTGTAAAGGTATCCCTCTGTCAGCTTGATGCCGTCGATTCTGGCGGTTGGTTGACGGAAACTTGATAATAGTACTTTCTAGATACCCTGAATGGCACGTCACTGGTTATCGTTAAGTGGAACTGCTGGTATAAATCAACGTAATAATCGCTCATAATATAATGGCAACGGCGACCCGATCGCTAATCATAATATTCTCTTTGATCGGAGGCTGTTTTTGCGGTACTGCCTCTGCAGATCCATACAATGACTAGAATTTGGAGCTGTGCCGCACATTCTTGACCTTGTTGCTTTTCTCGTAAATCAGGCTGCTTTGCCCTGGAATTTGCTATGGGATGCTGATCATAAAGTGGATAAAGAATTTAAAAAAAATAGAATGTTACAAAGATTTTTTGATATTCTCGTCCATTGTCGTGAAAAATCTCAGCGTGTCTTGTTTACTACTCTAAAGCATCCCACAAACCGGCGCGAAATATTCGTTTTGGCTGCGAAAATTTCGCGGCGATGAATTCGCGATCAGATTAAAACGCGGCGGTTTACGGACAGGCTTAGACTTGTGCGAAGCGAATGCGATTCTTCCAGCGTTTTTATCGCGGCGTATTTCAGTTCGCCTTTGACCGCATTTTTGACGCCGTTCTTCAAAAATTCGCAATGGCAAAAACGGAATTATTGATAGAAATAGTGAAAAAGTATCCTTGTTTGTATGATTTGTCGAACGATGAATACAGGAATGTGAGAAAGAAAGACAAGATTTGGATGGAAATAGGAAAAGAATTAAATACAAATGGTATGTACCTAATATTTTTTATTAACTTGTTAAATAATTTACAGTCTACACAAATGTGAAAACAAACATTCTATATATTGGGCATAGGCAAATCAGAGTTAAAATAATTTACGAATTTGTCACGAGTAGAAAATGCTAGCCTTCCTGCCCGCCGAGGATCATTTGCTATATCAGTAAAAGCTCCAAGCACGGGTTCTGGGGGATCTAAGAATTGAAAATATTTGTCATCGCCACTTTTACTTCGTAAAAAATTGTGTAAAACACATGCCGTACGTACAATTAGAATAGTAGTATCTACTTTAGTTTCTAATGGCCTGTAAAATATTCGCCATTTTTGAGACAAAATACCAAACGCGTTTTCCACGACCCTTCTAGCTCGACAAAGTCTTACATTGTATTTCTCTTTTCTGACGTCTTTTAAAGTCTGCTTATAAGGAAATGGTCTCATAAGGTATGGTTTTAAAACAAATGCTTCATCACCAATTAAGACGTACGAGCAGATTTCATTTTGCCCAGGGAGAAATCTAGTGCAGGGACACTCATTAAATTTTGTTCAAATCGTTTCCCCATGTTTGAGGTTTCGAAAATACCCCCATCACTATTTTTTCCGAAACCACCAATATCAACACATATAAATTTATAGTCCGGGCCAACAATGGCCATAAGTACTATTGAATATTTATGTAAATAGCACCAGTAATTGGAGCCACTGTTGTTGGTCTCTTGATTGTTACATGTTTACCGTCCACGCTGCCAATGCAATTGGGAAATCCCCATCTATTTTCAAATTCTTCAGCACATTTTTCCCATATATTCTCTGTTGGTTCTGGTAAATATATATGCTCCATATGTCTGCATATCGCTTCACAGACTTCGGTTACGAGTGCACCCACTGTTGTAAAGCCAACTCGAAAGCTATGCCCAATGGTATAGAAGGTTTCACCAGTGGCAAGGAATCTATAAAAAAAATCGTTTTTAGGTGATGAAGTAAAAAAAGGTGGAAGAATATCAGAGACACATTTGCAAAATATATAAAATCTACCAAACCAAAGACCGGCCAAGCAGTGGGCAACATAAAAAAAATGGCAGTGGGCTGACTACATGGAATATTTCCGTCCTTTTTTGGCATTTGCCAAAACGTCGTCTAATCTGAAAGATATTGACGTCATACATTATGAGACTGCCGAATTTAACTCAAATATACGAGTATCAGAAAAGGGCTGGAAATGTAGAAACCGAAAATTTGGAAGACCGCGGCCATGGAGAAGATGAAAATGCTGATGTAGATGCAGAAGATGCACAGAACGCCTCGGCAACACAGACAGCACCACCTTCTTCATTGAACACTACAGCAGTGACTACTCCAGGGCACACCTTTCCGCAGACTGCAACTACACGAAAATATAAAACGAGCAGAAAACGCTATGAACCACCATCTTCGTCTGTACAACAGCTCATTAATTATTTTGAAGGTAAAAAACCTAAAAAAGAGAACGAGGCCATTGATTCACTTTTCTTGGCACATGCATAGACTGTGAAAACACTTCCCTTAAAGCGTCAAGCCCGAATAAAACTAAAAATAGCCGAATTAATAGCGCACGAAGAATTTGAACATATTGAAGAAATGTCTTCAGCGTCTACCCAGAATTCTGCAAGTATGTATGATAGTAGTATGTCGTCCTTCCCAAGCGGCACTGGGTTTACTCCAATAATATACCCAACAGAGGAGGCAAATTCTGCCTCGAATTATTTAGCAACATTTAATCCTAGTGGCAACAAGTAGTCCAATTATTACAATAAAATATTTATTTCACGATCCCTGAAGTTTTCGTGTTCGATAAGCCTACTAATTTTAATACATATAATTTTTTTACATGAGTGTAATAGCAAGTCGTTCTTCTGGCGAAATAGCTTCACGATAATTTGTGTCAGATTTTCGTATTTCATCTTTCACCAAGTTCAATATTTCATCGAAACACTCTGGAGTCATTCTAAAATATACGTAAAAGCGCCGAAGTTGTGGCATCAAGGTATGGTATTCCCCAAATTTATTTCGTTCCAAGTTAATATCATGTACCCACTTGCTTCGTTTCCTAAACAGAATTGAAAATATTTGTTTTATGTACTTCGTTAAACTTAATACATACCCAACTATCAAATGGCGTTAAATAAACATAACTTACCGTGCATTTTGTTCCTCTTCTAAAGCAATAAATAGAAGTGCCTCCTCTTCTTCTGAAGACGATCTCATTGCAAAAGGCAAAAATAAAATGTACGCAACCTGTCGAAACCTTCACGTTCGCGGAGCGAATAAGACGCTTTGGTATGAATAAACAGGCGAAACAGATTGCGAATTGCGCTCTGAATTTCGTTGCGAATACTTCGCCGCGATTATTTCGCGCCGGTTTGTGGGATGCTTTATCGTTCATCTAAATTTGGCAACCTTTGTGTGTTATTGTATGGTTTTCAGTACTGGTCTTTGGTTCGATCAGTTGTATCAGTCTGTTAATAGTGCAGATACTTAAATGACTCAGCTTTGAAAATACCCTGTATAATTACGAAGCTTCAACGGGTCAAACCATCCATACCGCCTTTTTGCTCGACGCGAAGTGCCTCCAAACTGTCCCCGTCCCGTCGTCACCCCGAAAGGACACTTTCTTTACCTGTACCCTGTACGTTCATAGGATGAATGAGAAATGCATAAATTGTAGGTAGGCATAAATTTTACACGTGGTACGGAGCTGTCGCTAGAGTCATCTTGTAGAGGAATTACAACGGGATTTACAGGAGGCAAAACACAATATTCATTTTCTTTTTCAATAATATGCCTAGAACACTGCTTCCATAGGTCTGTCGCAGCAATATGAGATACTGCATCTCTTATTGTGGCCAATAGCGATTCACTTAATTGAGGGGTCTGATTATGTTTTCTTACTTTTTTTTTAAAGCAGCCCAGACCAACTCAATCGGGTTAAAAATGCAGTAATAGGGAGGTAGACGTAATACTTCATGGCCATTTTGCTGAAGCAGATTGTCAACAACATACTCTTTTTAAAATTTTTGTCTTTTAATAAGATCCAATAATATGGCTTTGGTTGATTTTTGTGGTATTTCCATTCCCTTATCCTTCATAAAATCAATAATGTCTTGTTTTTTTGTGCCTGTATTCGGAATTTTGTTTTTCTGTCGGGAATGGTATGGCGCATTGTCCATAATAATCACTGAATTTGGGGAAATGTTTGGTATTAACTGCTGCTCTATCCACTTTTCAAATAAGTCGGAGGTCATGTCCTCATGATAGTCGGCACATGATTCTTTGATATTTTTGGCAGATAACAGCAAGGTATTAGGTATAAATCCATTTTCACTGCCAGCATGGAGAATAATGATTCGTTTTCCACGGTTGCATGGTGCATTTAAAATGCACTTGTTGCTTTCGTCAACCCAGCCGTACTGCACAACATCATGGGTATCATACCACGTTTCATCCAGGTAAATCAGATTTCTTTTCTGCTCTCTATAGATTTTAACTTTGTGCAAAAATTCTTGGCGCAATTCAACGATTCGAGACGACTCCATAATCACCATTCTTTTATCTAATTTTTTGTATTGAGAACCACACAGTTTTACAATACAGTGCAGTGAGTCCAAGCATTTGTAATTATAAAAATCTTCAGGATAATCTTTTAATTTATCCCGTATCATTTCTAACGTGGGCACCAAATTTTCTTTATAAAATCCGTATATTATACGACGAATATCTTCCTGAAAACCCACGTCTATTCTTTTTAATTTTTGCCCTATGCGCTTTCTGTGGAAGGAATGGTTGACTACATCTCCCCTTTTTATAACCCGATAAATGGTAGACCGACTGATTTTTGTCAGGATACAAATTCTGTTTAAAATTTGATTTTGCGAGGAATCTGGATTTTCGTTTTTCAAACAATCATACATATTTAGGATTACTCTTTGGGTCTGTTCCTCTAAATCTTTATGAAAGAATTCTGCCTGCACAGGTTCATCAACCATCTCCTCGTGGCTTGGAGCATTTTCCCAAGGTCTCCAAAGAGCCATATTTAGGACACACAAGAACAATCAACACAACAATTAAATCAACAAGTAAACTGAGTATTCAAAAGTCAAAAACACACAAACTAATAAAATCTATGAAAAAACACGGACAGACTAAAGAAAACACGTTTATTCACCGCTACACGGCACTGGCTAAACTGTTTCAATTTTCAGTACCAGATTGATAAATACCGTATAATGTTCATTATGTGATCTCCACGAGCTCGAATTGGCTTTTTGTACGTGTAAATAATAGTAAACTTAAACTGTGTTATTTAGATAAACTATACGGTGATTGAGATAACAACAGTATAATGTTCAATATGTGAATCTCCACGAGCTCTTGGCTGTACGGTAAATGTAACTTAAACTATGTTATTATATTTATTATAACTTACAGTTTGAATGCTAATAATGGAAATGGTAAATTCGTTAGAGTTTCGATGAGCGGGAATGATCGATCAGGCACGTCAACTGAGTGTACTTATGAATTTTGATTTGCATTTCGCTACATTTTTCAGGATCTCTAGGGGGGGCAACTGCCCCTTCCCCCCCTTGGCGACGCCCTTGGCAGACATTCTATTACGCCTCTTCACTCAACGAGATCCATTTTTATTATTGAACATGTCTTAGATCAATCAACAGAGCGACACAAAAAACAATATTTTGCTAACATAACCTACAAGGAGCACTCACTGAACACGCCTCCACAAGGAGGTTAGAAGCTCTTTATCTAGCATAGTTTTAACATCCTGTCCGGCTTCAATCTATACAACATGCTGCCATAAATTCTCAACAAAAGCACAAAATTAAATCGTCAAGTTGGCCGTGCAAAGCCATCGCCCAGGCGACTTGATAGTGCCACACGCGTTGTACCAAAATCAAGCAATTTCTATTCCTGCATCTCCGGGAGCGGTCGCTTCAAAACGGTATCAACGAAAAAAGTCGGCCAGGTACATAAATACTGCATTACTATTTCATTCAACGGCGGATCCAGTTCAGATTGAGTCTGCACGATTTGGCACTTTTTGCGGTCGTATCGGGGCAGCGGTCGGCATTATATGAAGACGTCTTCGGGGAACTCGTCAGCACGTAGTAGAAAATATTCGAGGAAAGATATGAAGTATACCCAAAAGTACAGGTACAGGGTTTGTCCGGAAAGTAATAGGACTGAGTCGATTTACAAAAAATTATTGAGCCAATCGTTACAATTCTTTAAAAACTTTCAAAATACGCTCCTTCTGCGTCGATGCAGCGCTGCCAGCGCGATTTCCAAGCATAGAAGGCGCCAAGGAAGGCATTCTCCGGAATAGCCTTGAGAGCCGCGGTGCATGCTGCTTAGATCCTCTCTGTCGTCTCAAAATTGCCTCTTTGTCTCGGGATCATACTCAAAGATCCACGACTCGTCACCTGTGATTACGTTATTCAAAGATTCACTTTCACACATGCTCAAATTTTCTTGGCACACTTCCACTCGCCGCAATTTCTGGTCGTCAGTGAGCACTTTTGGGACCATCTTCGCGCACACCTTGCGCATGTTCAAACGCTGTGTCACAATGTGATGAACCACAGATTTTGGTAAATTTAACATCTGGGCAATTAAACGAATACTGTCTGGGTTCAAAACTTTGCGCACACGAGTCACATTATCGGCGTTTGTCGAAGTCGAAGGGCTTCCAACACGGTCTTCATCAGCGACCTCTTCCCGGCCCTCCAAAAAGGCCTGGTGCCATCGAAACACACCACTTCTTGCTAAAGCCTGCTTGATCATAGCAAACGTCTCCATTGCAGATTTACCGAGTTTCACACAGAATTTAATCGCGTACCTCTGCTCTAACGAACGCTGCATTTTCGGCTGGCACCACTCACAGAAACACGTCGCGCAAAAATGCCTGTCTTGACTCTCCAAGTGCTCGGAGATAACTGACTAGTCGCTCATTCGTTAGCTAGGAACGCCCTCTACCGAATCCAGTCGGTGTGCGCACGCTCTGAAGTACAGTCCTGGCGGAAGAAAATGAGTCCTAGTACTTTCCGGACAAACCCTGTATAT